GTGGTTGTTCACCCTGTTCACAAAGTGCCTACGCGCGGATCATCCAATTTCTGCAGTGGAAAGAGGCGGAGGCGACGAGAGAGTGTTCGGAGAGGATCATAGCCAAGATGAACGCAAGCAGCTCTGGAAATTTGAGAGTGATGGACGAGGGGGTGAAAGAAGTGATGCTAGCCATGGTTGAAGCGACCAAGCAAGGGAGGCACGACAAAAAGCGGAGGAGGAGGAAGAAGGAGACGAGAAAGGAAATGAAGCAGGAACTTCAGATGATCAAGGTCAGACTGGATGATTTCTTTGACTTGATTCCCACCAAACCACCCGCAACCAACAAGCTGAACAAGCGGCGTCGACAAGCACAAGCGCTGCTTTCCGATAGCCCCGGCAAGAACGAGGAGCCTGCTTGCTTGTGGTTAGGGCAGTGGAACCTCAACCGATACCTCTACGGAAAGTCCCCTTCTGGATGCTGGTCGTTTGGGGGAGAGACAAGATGATGAGCACTACCATGCCGACGAGGAGATATTCTGGGGGAGCGCAGATGACTCGCGCTAGACGGTCTCCAACGGCTCCGATAGTCCTGATACCTGTACTCCTTGGGACTGGGCACAAGCGGAGCAGCAGGCTTTGTTGGACGGGGACGGGTATACTTCGTGGAGCTGCTGGGATTGCTTGGTTAATGCGAATGCGCAGTGGTAGTAGAGGATTTTGAACTGGACTCTGATTTCCACGAAAGCAATAACAAGCTACGGTTTGGGCATAAAATTCTTCCAGCAGGTTTAAGTCCGCGGTGCAAACTGTGTTCATGTTAGGTGTATTATCGTGACTGCTTGACTTTGCCATGCTTTCCTAAAGTTATAAGCTCCTTCTTAGCTGAAACACACAATATGCCCACCACAAGTAGGTACTCGATGTCTGATTCCTCCTTCTCTCTCCCAGGCAATCCGACCCAAAGAAACTGTGCCCCATATCCGTGAAACTTTTCTAGAACAAGCAGGAACGGATCAGCAATATCACCCTTTGGTGCAGGGTTCACTCAGAGGGAGAAGGAGCGACTTACATGACAATAGATAGTGCGTTTGGTGCACCTTCTTCCTAAAGAATCGACACAATCTCCATGTTTTTCACCGGGCCTGTGTTACTGTGTACCCTGTGCTGCCCTAGTCTTCCCCTCCAGGGCCCCCAACACTTACCCATACTCTAGTCCCGGGTGCAGCTTCACCTCCAGCTCCTTGGACATCAAGATCCAGATCCATCCCTTCCATCCTTGCCATCGTACGGAGCCGTCGTCGGTATTGTAAATCCCAGCTTTTCCAACAACCCCTCCAAGCACGCAGCTTGCTTCTCCAGGACAGCAACCACTCTCCTGTTTAGCAGCCAGCTCGACCATTAATTCCGTAATCTCCCTATTCCGGGCTGCGTTCTCCCTCTGCATTGCGTCACCATTGCCAATATCCTTTTGTAGGGACACCATCTCTCTGAATACGCTGCGAGTGCCGTTGCTTGAAGCGCGCAACTGCGTTAATGAAAGCTTCAGCAGGTGCACTTGCTCTTTTTGGAGGTCTTCGATATTCTTGATGTACATGGTTATGGTCCAGCCCATCAACATGGTGGTCCCAAGAATCATAATCATGAATTTGAAGAGCCAGGGTAGGTGCTCTTAAACCAGCTTGGCGGTGAGGGTAGTGGCCTGGGTGCAATCCATGTTGTGGACCGTGAAATGTCAAGGGATGGGGATATGTGAGGGATGTTGTGGGATGTGACTTGTGTAGCAGCTGAAGCGGGCTGGGAGGATTGGACGATTATATAGCTGGAATTGTCATGGCATGAAGGACTAGAGACGAAGCGGAGAGAATGGATGAACCCTTTGGTACCTAGATAGTGATGGAACCGACATTTGTCTGGGGTATTGTAGGGCCACCATAGCTTGTTCTGCCTTACATCTTATAGGGAGGTACATTGTTGTTACGATCCAATCATGGAGACTAGACTAGCCGACCAATCAGATCGGACCCGAAGTCCCGGGTTCTAAGCCCGGGTCCACGGGTCCAGTATATCGGGTCCAGTATATCGGGTCCATGATGACCGGTATAAAAGAAGGCCTTCCCCGGCCTCTTGTTACCGGTTCTTCAGCAAGCAATAGCTCTCTTCACCCCCATGAAAGCCTTTTCGTGTCAATCGTGGAAAGCTCAACGTTTATGACCATTCCGCTTTGTCCGGCAACCATCGTCCCACCTACTAGAGGTACTTTGCGATATTCACCCTTGATGTATTTGACCTGCACCAGCAGTTAAGCATTCTACTTGCTACTAGACGAACATGAATCAGTCCTAACACAGAAGTGGTGCAATGAATAAATTGTGACGAACCGTTACAAGCACAGGAGTATTTCGCTCGGATATAACAATAGAGTAACGGAGTAGTAGCCGAGGGTACTGGTAGCTTGTGATGCGCGATAGTAGATGAACAAACTGCTGCTACTGCCCTCTAACCCAGATGCTTCCACGATCGACGCACCTTGCGCCGCAGGTAGGTGGCTTCCCAGGCAGCTGACATGAGACAGCTGGCTCTTCCGAACAACGTCCATGGGCTGCTTTTCCGGAGGGTTCTGTTCTGCTTCTCTTCTCCCCCTAGGACAGGGGGGCTGGATTGTACTTACATCTGTGCCGGCTGCCGGGTTGCATCTCCCGTCTTTAGTCGAGAGCGACGCGAGGAATGTTTGTGTCTGCAGCACATGGGAGGTGTTGGTTGCGATCCCTGCCAACCGTTCAACCTCCAACTCGATTGACAAAGGAAGACAGCCAACGACCCACATCTACAATCCAGAACCGGACAGGCTGCTAGTCGTTGGTTGGTGAAAGCCCGTGCCGGCCAAACATCCTCAAGACCCTGCTGCTGCCCTGCTCAATCGCATCCCGATACAATGCGATTCCACTCCTTTCTCCATGATCCAAACATAATAAACGTGAGTTGGCGTAAGAAGAAAGTTCCCGATACTTCCCCCCGTAGCCACAACCACGCTAAAGTCTGGTCAACTATGCCGAACACTATGAGAACAACGCCCAAGCAATCTAAACAATCGAAACCGTCTCCAAAGGAGGGTGGTGTGCAACGTCGCCAGGCTGTTACCAGTAGGCCACCGGCCGCGCCACCAAATCCACAGCGCACGACGAAGGTCCTATTCGTCTTGGTCAACGGAGCGGAAGATTTCGATGACGGCGACGGTGGCGGCGAGAACGACCCCGGACGCGAGAACAGCAATGCCAATACAGATTCTGGTTCAAAGATGGAAGTGGACGCGAAAGGAGAAGGGGAAGCGAAAGCGGAATTGGAGGGAAAAACTCAATCCAAACATGATAAACATCGACGGGATGTCATCGCTGAGCGCTGGCCCGGTGCTCAGGTGGAAATTTTCGATTTCTTCCCACGGACACAGGAGGGCAAAGGTCGTGAGTTTTTGAGCCCGGAGTTCATTGCGAGGCGGGCAAGGGATATCACAGATCGGTTGCAGGAGGCGGTATACGGTCGTTTGGATGGCTCAGATGGGACGTCTTGGCTTGAAGTAAGTCTTACTTTCTTTCGTTAAGAGGCAGGTATATGAGCTGATCGTTCGGTGGTGAGACGACTGGGTGCTGACCGATAACTGTGTAGAAGGAGATTGAGCCAATCCCCATCATCTTCCTGAATCATTCGACTGGGTCTTTGCTCGTGAAGAAGGTAAACAGTTCTTCTCCTTCGCTTGGTTTCTCGTCCTCTCCTCTCAGGGAGTCCTACAATCAGTTGACTCAGCTCATTAACGGCAACCAACCTACCTACACAGATCCTTCTTTGTGCCATCGAGAATGATGATAACCTCTGGCTAGTCTCATGGACGCTTGCGGTGGTAAGTGCACTTCCCTTGAATGCAACTGTGACGAACCTTTACAAGCACAGGAGTATTGTCGCTGGGATAGAAGAATAGAGTAACGGAGTAGTAGTCGAAAGGTAGTGGTAGATTTTGATAGCTATTGCTTGCTGAAGAACCCTAATAATGAAGGCCGGGAGGCCTTCTTATATACTGGTCTTTAGCCTTGTCCCGTGGTCCCGTAAACTCGGGACACCGGGACCGGGACCTATCTGATTGGTCCATCTATCTAAGTCCGCTGATTGGATCGTAACAGAATGGCATGGAACTCATGATGGCATCCGCGATATTGGCGCAATCGGATACCACGAAAAGGAGGAGAAGGGATACCGGGGAATCAGTCGCGACGAGCAGTGAATCGCAGGCAGAGCAGCCGAGCTCCAAGATGTTGCGGGCCGAATGATATCACCGGACACCAGACGCGAGGCGTCGGTAAAACATCAAGGGCAATGCCATGATGCAATATCGACAGGCACAAAATTGAAGCATATATCAGAAACGTGTTTTGGAGGGTCGGATGGCAGCTATCAGTTTGAGCCATTGGAACTACGGGCGGCAGGT